TCAGATGTCTCCCTCTGAGACCAGGTCTCTGGTCACACCCTCTTGCTCTTCTTTCTAAACTTGAGATGGGAGGAACTGCACTTTGAAACATCCTCCACTCTGAACCCAGGAGAAACTCAGGCAGCAAAGGTGTTTAGGAATACTGTGTGCCTGAAGTCAGGAGGCCAGCATGCTCAATGGGTCACATGACTCGCAGCAGCTGTGCTGCAGCAGCTTCAGGGTTGAGTGTACTGCAACCGAGTTCACTCTCAGCTGATCCTCACCTTGATGTTACTAGAAGACTCATCTCCCTGTGTGTGACTATGGTGTCCAAGGTCACGTGTATCTGCATGTGTGGATGTGGCTAGCATGTCTTGGGCAGAGTGTCTCGTAATGTGTGTCTCCCATTTCCTTGAAGTCTGAGGAGAAAGCTGATCATGGCTTTGTTTCTCTCCTTTAATGCCTGGTAATGTTCTCTGGGCCACCCCTCCCTTCTTTTTCATTTTAATTCATTTTTTTGCTAGTATATATCAATTGCACAAAGTTAGGGGATTCATTATGACATCCATGCAATGCACATAATTTAACTTTGATGTATCCTCCCCTCTTGTTACTTTTTCTTTTTTTTGAAAAATAGGTTTTGATCATTTATTTATTTGTGTATGAATATATACTTATTATGTGTATGGGTGTTTTGCCTACATGTCTGTACACTATGTGTGTGAAATGCACACAAAAGCCAGAAGAGGGAGGGTACAGGATCCCACAGGACTGGAGTTACAGATGGTTGTGAGCCACCATGTGCATGCTGGGAATTGAACCTGGGTCTTCTGGAAGAGCAGCCAGTGCTCTTGACTGCTGAGCCATCTTGCCTGCTTTTCCCCCCCTTTATGATTATTCTTCTACATCCCTAGCATTTCCACGTGTATAATTTTATGTCCCTTTTCTATCTTCCACATATGAGTAAAAAGATGGTACTTTGTGTTTCTAAGCCTGGCTTATTTCACTCAGCAGGCTGATCTTCAGTTCCATACATTTTCCAAGAAATAATACAGAATCTCATTCTTCATGGCTGAATAGAACACTGTTTTATAAAATACCATTATTTTGTGTGTTCATCTGTGGGTGGGCAGCTGGGCTGACTGTAACTTGGCTATTGTGAATAATGATGCGATAAACACAGATAAGCAGGTGTCCTTTTTACTATACAGACCTACAGATCGCATAGCTGAATCATATCGAAGTTCTATTTTAAATTTTCTGAGGCGCCTCCATGTTGATTCTCACAGAGGCTGCACTGCTTTATATTTCCTACAGCAATATGCAAAGGTTCTTTTCTCACCAAGCCCCGTTCTTGCCATGCTTTGGTGTTGCCTGTTATCTTGATGATAGCCATTCTCACATGATATATTTTATATTTTATTTTTTTAGGGATAGTCCTGCTATGTAGCACAGGCTAGCCTCAAACCTATGATCTTCCTGACTCAGCCTCCTGAGTGATGAGATTAGGGGTATATACGTTCATGTCTAATCTGGGTTTTTCTTCTTGGTGGGGGATACTCAGCCTAGGCTGCCAGACCCTTGAGTTCTTCCTGCCCTAGACTAGATTTCTCAGTCTACTTTCTATTCTGACAAAGGGACTAATGGGCAACAAGAGCAACCAGGGTGACTCTGGCCCTTTCCCTTAAGTTGCTGGAAGGCCTGCATGGAATTGAGTCTAGGGACCCTTCCTAAAAGGCTTTGTCTTCAGGCCTAGGTTCTAGGAGCAGCTGGATGGCAATGGGAAGCCCAGCTCCTCTTGCCGTGTTCCATCTTTGAAAGGCCTTCCACCTGGGGCAGCTGCAGACCCTCAGGTGATGGGCCATCCTCAGTGAGCTTCTTGGGTTCACTCACATGGTATTTTTAAAGACAAGAGTCATCCAGACTCAGCTTAGAACCTAGGCTCTACTCCATCCCTGAGGACTAGGCTAGGACACGTGGCACACAGGCTGAGGGTTCAGTATGGGTAGGTCCTCTGTGGCAAGGCTGCAGGACACGCAGGGCCTGCTCCAGCTCTAATGGCCTTGATTGGGTGTCTCCTCAGTGCACACTTCTTCCTGGAGATAGAAGGCTTTGAGCCCAACCCCACAGTCACCAAGACCTCTCCTCCTATCTTCTCCAAGCCGATGGACTCCAATATCCGGCAGTGGTGAGTACTGGCTGCTGGCCTGGACACAAAGCTGGGCATAGTAGCACTGTACTTTTCTAAATTTGTCCTGCTCTCTTCCCTCTCTTCCATCTTCAGCATCTCTGGCAACTGTGATGACATGGACTCCCCTCAGTCTCCTCAGGATGATGTGACAGAGACCCCATCCAACCCCAACAGTCCCAGGTCAGTGTGACCTTCCCCCTTATCTCACTGTTCTCAGTAAGGGGAGGTATCACAGGGATGGGCTGCACAGGAAAGAGAAAGAAACCATCAGCTCTGGGGATTGGGACAAACACGTAGGGGCCTGAGCCATGGTTGTGGCATGTGACATTTTGTGGAGAGGAGTGAAATATCAATAAATTATATGATGATATTTGTTCATTATAATATATCCAAACAATGCACAGGAGAATAAAGACTTTAGCACAAGTTACACAAGTATACAAACTTAAAATCAATTCACAAAGAACATCAGTATGCATTTTTGTTAGAGCACATACAAATGACAGGAGGTACACCTACATTCCATACAGCAATGGTCTGCTTGGAGTGTGGGGGCAGGGAGGGATAGATGGAAAAGTTCATATAGGGAGATGGAAGGGAGCATTCTCTTCCCTTAGTTCCATGGTTCAAAGTAATGGCTTCAATAGGCATCCATCCTTCTTGATCATCCTTGTGTGTATATAGGTGTATTCTGATCAATGTGATTGCATATAGATTGGAAGGGGAACCTGATCAGGCAACACAGAACACAAACACGGGCATCCCCAAAGACATGAGGGGCATAGGAGTTGGAGCAGTGACCTGGAGGCCAGCAGCTCTGGTGATGGAGGGGAAGAGGGTAGGGGCCAAAGCGAATGCGTGGTGACTTCTCAGTGCCTTCTGGTCTTAGTGCAAACCTGGCCAAAGAAGAACAGAGGCAGAAGAAGAAGCGGCTGGCGCATCTTTGCTGCTGTATCTGAGGGCTGCGTGGGAGAGCTTCGGGAACTGCTACAGGAGCTGCAAGAGCTCTGCAAACGGCGCCGTGGCCTGGATGTGTCTGGTCAGTGCCCAGCCCTGGTACAGGGTTCAGGCCCTGGGGACCGTGGTTGGTTTGGCTTGGCCCGTGCTCCATCTTCTATGGGGCTTGAGTGTGAGACACCTTGGGTACTGGCATAGAAACCTTGAGCTTGACTTAGAGGGACAGACACAGGGAGTCATGGGTAGGTTTAGGCAGACAGAGGCCATGGTCTGGCTATGGGGTGGAGTAAATCTGGAGAGAGTTGCTATTCAAACAGCCTTGAAACCCTGAGGCAGGCCTGAGAGAGGGGGAAGAGTTCTGGGGAGTTTCCCAGGTATTGACAGGAATGGAAGGAATTGGGGGTTCATAGCCATCATGGGATCAAGGTGAGGAGCAGGTTGATGGGGAGGTGATGAGCTAACTTTTAGGCCGTGAGAAGGGACAGGATGGAGATTTCAGTACAAACACGGGCAGTGGGAAGCCAGGCAGCAGGTGACATTGTCTCCCCCTCAGAGAGAAGGAACAAAGGTCAAAGAGTAGTGGGGGCTGAAGGAGGCTTTCATAGGGGTAGCCATGAACAGCAAATCAGGGAGGGAGCTGGAGGAGAGGCTGAGGAAGAGGAAGGAAGAGTGCCAGGTAGTACAGGGTTGGGGGCCTCCAGTGCAGGGTAGGGGGAATGCTTTTGAGGTGTGAGGCTGCAGCTCCCACACCCTGTTCTGTCTCTGAGGACTTCTTGCCCTGCCTTTATCCTTGACTCCATCTGCAGACTTCCTCATGCACAAGCTGACAGCCTCAGACACAGGGAAAACCTGCCTGATGAAGGCTTTGCTCAACATCAACCCCAACACCAAAGAGATCGTGCGGACTCTGCTTGCCTTCGCTGAAGAGAATGACATCCTAGACAGGTTCATCAATGCCGAGTACACGGAAGAGGCCTATGAAGGTACCTGTAGGCAGAGGCAACCTAAGGGCAAAGGACAGAGGTTGGGATTTCCCAAGGTGGGTGTGGCTACAGAGCCATGCCAGTCTTGCTACACAGAGGCATTTTGGCCATGAAAGTGGCCATATGCAGCAGACACGCTTCTCATCCTTCCTTTTCCCTGTGAATAATGCTGAGCAGGGGTGGACAAGTCAGGAAACGTGATGTTCTAAAAAGGCGACTTTAGACAGACTATGTTAGGAATAGAAACAACGACGATGTAGGGTGACAGGGAATGACAG